TCTCTCTCTCTCTCTCTCTCTCTCTCTCTGATGGTTTCGTGGAGTAGCAATCAAAGAACTCAGCTGAAAGCGAGAGAGCCCTAGGCTTTGAAAAGGACCACTAGCGCTTAGGTTAAAGACAGCTCCCGCGATAAAAGTGTCAAGGATAATTGCTGATCAATTATGAAACAGTAGCTGATAAGTAATTCCTCAATGAAGGAAAAAAGAAACAAGAGCCCTCAAGAACACCATAAACAAAATCGCGCCCTGACAGTCACACCTCCCTGCGGTCTCTGTGCAAGCCTGGCTCACAAATCACTTTGTCACATCTCCCAGTAGTGGATATCATCGAATGCGAAGAAAAGAAAACAAAAAAGAGGAACACTGAGGAAAAAGCTCTTGAAAAGAAAAGGAAACATTCAAAAAGCCGGCGTCCGAACTTAGGGTTACGGTAGCGAGCATGTTTTAGTGTAGTGAAGTGCGTCGAGCTTTTGCACCACAGAAATTGCATCATTCGTGATTTTTACGCGTTTTACCTTACGAGATGGGTTGCTGTTGACTGACGTAGCTCCAATGAATAAAATATGAGAAGGAGAAAAAGCAGAATTATTACAGAGCACGAGCGGTCAGCAAAAATACATGCAGTTCCGATTAATGACTGCCGTCCCAACAAGGAACAACTGAGCGGCTCTCCGTCAGAGGGCAGCTAGCTAGTGAGGCGGTCCAACTGAGCAGGCGTTAGAACTAGAACTTTGAGCGGAGGTTTAGCACTCGCTCACCCTCTGCTGAAGAGTCGCGAGAGTGAAGGTAGTATCTAGCTTGGAGGCTGCAACTATCTGCCAGAAGGGCAACATAGTGCTACTTGAGCGCGGGCAGCGTCTTGTAATAAAGTCGACTCCCGAATACGGAGAGCGCTCACTTTCTGCTCTAGGCGATGGCTGCTAAGCAATTGGCAAGTAAGGATAGAACTCCACAGAGTGTTTTTAGCAGCACAAGACAAGGTGCAACCCGAGGGTGGCCTTGTGTGTCCGCCGTTTTCGTGAGGCATATTGGGAGTGTGCACTAGAACAGCAGAGGCCGCGTTTTCTAGCATAGTGGCAGCTTGTTCTGCCTCCACTTCTGTGGCATCTATACGAGGTTCAGTCTCCACAGTGTTTCATCGAAAAGTAAAGAGAAAAAAAAAATAGGTATTCGTCCAAGCGTTTGTTTGTCACTAGAAAATGACGTGTTGTCCCGAATTATCGTCGCGCGAATGCTCTTATCTGAAAGAGCAGGACCAACTTGACGAGCAAGGTCAGGTTGGTGTGCAGTCATGTCCCGTGATTTCAGATAAGACATCTGCAGGCGTTCTATATAAAGCAGCTTTTCCATCTCATGGCAGCACACCATGCAATTCAACGTTTTATTCGTATTCACTATTCCAGCCATTGCTTTTGCTTGGCCTCTGTTGAGCGACTCTGAGGGGTTCACCGATAACGTGGGTTTCGTACCTCCTTCATAACTCGTGAATTTCGATGGTGATGCAGTTCACAGTTTTTTCAGCCTCCTCACAAGCATCTTCGCCGGCACACCCGTTCGCCCCAAACGATCGCTCCCGTGTTCACAGCGGGAAACCTTCACTGATCTCCCATTTGAATCCAGTCAGCCTGTCGCGATCAGTGATGTACCTCCCAGCGATAGCTCACAAACAACTGGAGGTCTACTGAACCAAAAAGTAATTATTGATACTATTGATCATATCTTTCATTTTTTCGCTTCCATTTTCTTTCGAAGTGCTAATCTTGGGTTTTTCAGCCTCATCACCGACGCACACGACTTCCGCCATCAATCGGCCCTGTGTTCACCCGTGAAGCAGCGACTTTTACTGGGTTGCCAGTGGTTCCCACTGAACTCGTTGAGGACCCTTCGAGTAGAAGGGTGAGCAGACCATCTTATCGAGTTGTTTTATATTTCAGTATCTGTTCAGGAAGTCATACTGACGTGTTTCAGCCTCATAATCGACACAAACGTTCACCGGTAACGATCGTTCCTGGGTTCACCGACGAAGTCACGACTTTCACCGACTCGCCAGTAGGCCCAACTGAAGTTGTGCAGGGTCGCCTGAGTAGACGGGTAAGGAGATCCTCTAATCGATCTAATTCCCTATCTGTTCGGAAATCAGACTCAGG